GAAGTCCCCCTTAGACAGTTTCCTTGGGTATCAGTTGCCCCCTGGGAAGATTTTCTTCACCTCTTGTTCTGCCGAGAGCTGTAATGTATTGTAATTCTGGTCACCGGGACAAACAGAGGGGGAGATCTCCTGAGGAGCAGTGAGCAATACACACCGGACAGAGGGAATTAACCCTTCCGTACACTATCCAAAACCAAAAAATAAATAAATGAAAAAGCGAGGCTGTTCTCTGGATTAAGTTAAAGTGCACCTGTGGTTTATCCGATTTATAGGTCTAGAACAACCAATCAGAATGGATTGTGCTAAACATGATAGTTATGGGTTACGAATGCACAATTCCAAAGCACACGTTCCTGTTTTTAGAGTTGGCTGTGTAACCAAGTGTGTGCTGCAGCAACCATCGGCTGGGAACAAGAGTAGTCAAAGAAGAAGCACACCGTGGATCTCCAAACTGGGTCCAAAAGCTTTATTAAGCGATTAGAGCTTTACAGCAGGAGCAACATTTCAGAGCCTCGCAGGACCCCTTCGTCAGGCATGGCCACATGGTCTTACAAGGCTCCAAAACGGTGCTCCTACTGTAACGATGTGATCACTTAATAAAACGTTTGGACCCAGTGTGGCGATCCACGGTGTTATGAATTACGTCCCTTACAGCTGAACTCCAGGTATTCAACCACTTTGTAAAATGTGCTGGTATACTAGGGGATAAATACAAGGTACAATCTCTCTACAATCGAATTGGGTCCATCTGCATGACCCAATCTCACTGCAGCATCTGGATGATTTTATTGGAGCAATCTAATTGATTTGATTGGTCCAATCCAATTAGACTAAAATCTGCAGCAATCTGGACCATTTTATTGGACTGATCTGATTGGATCAATTTTGTTGGACAATTTGGCTGGACCAATCTCTTTGGACTATTTGATCTGGCACACTGTACCAAGCGGCTGAATTCCTGGAGAATAGTTTAAAGCCACATATGAGTTGGGCTGCCAGAGCTGAAGCAGAACAGCTTTTTTTTTTTATGACAGGAAAAGGGAATTGTTCTACTCCAACTCTGGGCCCATTCACACCAGAAAGTGAATGTAACTGCGCATGTTTTCTTTGTACCTATCCATGTAGTTGGTGCACATTTTAGATACAGTTGACATGCATTTACATGCAGTTAATGCGCACTTTTCTAACTGCATTTGACCTGTGAGGCCACTTCCTTCATCTTCTATGTGCACTGATGTGTTGCAGTGCATTTGCATCCGTTTTTGCATGTTTGCCATGTTGAAATTGCAGCATGCTGTACTTTTCTGCACTGCGCTGAACTGCACTGCTATGGTGTGACTTGTGCCCATAAGATTGCCTGGATTGTGGACTTTCTATGCAGTTGGAATGCAGCCAACTGCATTCGGTGTGAAAGGGCCCTCAGACTAATAACAGGAGAAGATCCCAGACTCTCATACCTAACATAATGAGCTGATAGGAATGATGCAACCAGTGACATGTCAGGACAACTATATGGACAAGATGCCTTAGAGCAGAGACTCAATAGGCAGGGAAATGAGTGTCAGAACATCCATCTTTACAAACTTTAAAAAACAAATCCTGTCCTACATACCAGGACAATTATTCCATTTCAGCTATGGGCCTGTTTATTAGTAATGAAGTCTGTCATTACCCACTTCAGCTCCCTGCTTTGCAGGGATTAGAAACAGAGAGATTATTCCCTCTGTACAGATTCCTGTATTGATTTGTCAGCACAGGGCTCTGCACTGTGATTGGATACAGGCGATCAGCAGGTCCCAGCCATTAATTATTGGCTGAGACTTGCTGATAGACTCCTGTGTTTAAACACAGCAGGTGTCAGTGGGGGAGAATGCATACATACTCACTTCTATGCTGCAGCTGCCCCACATCAGCTCTAAAATCGAGAACTGAGCGATCACATGACTGTCAGTCACTAGAGTGCCAGGCTGGGGAGGGGGTGGGCACAGCTGGCTCTCAGCTATACGCTTTGAGGCAGAGCCAACTGTCAACCAGGAAGTGGAGTGGATCCAATGAATATTGTCTGGATCCTTCCAGAGCCTGGAGCAGCTCTGACTCCTTAGTAGTGAAAGATTGAACAAAAATGACTGCCATTTTTTTTTTTTTTTAATAGCAATCATTTAGAAATACAAAAACAGAAAATTGATAACTAAAGAAGGGGAAAAAGTTAATTAGGGCTGAACAGGTGTCAAATACGAGGTAAACTGTGTTATGGATATTTCGGGCTAAGACGCTGAAAATAAGTCTGTGATTGGTTGAGAACAAATACACTGACAGAACAATGTCCCATCTCTTCGTGTATGAATACCAATAGAAAAACTCATTTTATTTTCATAAATAAAACCAATTTTTTTTTTTTTTTACTTGTAAGGTGACTTTAACTGACATCCTACTCAGATGAAAAAGCAAACAAAGTGATCCCGGAGTGGGGATTTAATTGGCTAAGTTAGTGTGGGAAGCTGTAAACAATTTGGTTTTTGAAGCTGGGAGGGGTTATAAAATTGTTGATTTGTAAACCAGTATAACTTGTTGTCTGTGTCTTTATATGAAAGTACACCCATCATTAGAAAATGATGTAGGCTTCAAATGGTGGCCTCCATAGTTCCCCGATTGCCATGCCAATGCAATGGCTCGTTCTCCAACCTAGACCTAGGAGGAGCATGATGACAAGGAATTCTGAGACTAATTCACAGTTTAAGTCTCTCACTTAAAAGGTACTGAAACCAGACACAGCTTGATCAATAGCATTTTCAGAAGGAGGTCAGCAATGCAGCTCCCGAATTTCCCTCATGACTGGGGTATTTTACAGGCACTTAGTGGGAGTGGTATAACTCCTTGGTGTGAACTGAGCCTATTAAAAAAAAAAAAAAAAAATGGATTTTGGCTTGTTACTGCACTGGGCCTGCGTTGAGCAACACAGAAAGAAAGAAAAAAAAAAAAAAAAAAAAAAAAAAAAAAAAAAAAAAAAAAAGTGTGAATGGGCCCTTAGGATTTGTTAACAGAACAAAAAAAAAAAAAAAAAAAAAAACTTTCACTGGCGACACCTGGCAGGGAATTTAACCGCTATTCAAAAGTTTAAAAACGTGGCCTTGGGTTAGTAGTAAAAGTATTTATCTACTTACTGTGTTTTTTATTATTATTTTTTTTTTTAACAGAAATCAGTACTAATACAGTCAAAGCTGGACCTTTCAGCTGGGTATCTAAACTACTTCTGTATATTACCGCTGGCAGTAAGCACAGAAGTTGTACAAAAAGTATATTCTTTATTGTTCAAAAAAATGACACAGGACGTTCAAACACCCAACTGTATCTATCCAAGCAGTAATAATGAAATATACAAAACATATTTCCCTCACATTTGCTAGCTGTACAAAGTAACAATGTGACAGACAGGGTGCCTTTTGACCCATTGCAAAACAGCCAAATGATTTCAGATAAAGTGACTCACTGTGACTTCAGTATGCATTTTGTAATAATCTCCGATTATCAGTCTAAGGGTCACATTCATTTTTGGGAGCAAAGTTCTTTCATTTATCTTACGCACGAGCTGCTGCAGACTGCTCTTACAGTGGTTGTAAAGGCAAGTGTTTTTTTTTACCATCATGCATTAACGTAAAAAACCTTTTGTGTGCAGCTCCCCCCTTATACTTACCCGAGCCCCACCTCGATCCAGCGATGTGCATGAGAGCTGTGGATCTCCTGGGTCTCTCTCTCTCTCATTGGCTCACACAGCAGCGGGAGCCATCGGTTCCTACTGCTGTCAATCACAGTGAGCCAATAAGGAGAGAGTGGGGGGGTGGGGCTGAGAAGCGCTCTCCATGTGAATGCACAATTTACAGGAGTGCGGCTCACGAGCAAGCCTGCTCAAGTGCTCCCATAGCAAAAGGAGGAGATAGGACCATCAGCGGGGAACCCAAAAAGTAAAGGATTGGAGCTGCTCTGCACAAAACCATTGCACGGAGCATACAAGTATATAAAAAAAAAAAAAAGTGGATGTAAAAAAAAAAAAAAAAACTTACCTTACCCCTGCTTGCATCAGCAACGTCTAGGTGCAGGTGATGGCAACATCCATTAGGCCCATTTACACCAGAAGGCAATGCATTGCAGTGCACACATTTGTGTGTGCTGAGGTGTGTTGTATTAGTACAAATGAATTGGCTGTAAAGCCCCTCAAAAAAAAAAAAAATAGGATGTGGTGCATATTTTTTTTTTTAAACAGCGCACCACAATATACCTCATGCAGTGAACTGTAAAACAGCAGCATTGTGGATATGCATTTCGGTGACTTTCAATGTGAGTGGAAACACAACACTAACGATCGGCCCGCGGTTTCTGCCTGTCACTTTGACAATCCGTGTTAAACGTGCCATGACCCTGACTGGCTGTATGGTAAAATTAGGTGGATGGTCGGGCAGGGAAGTAAAAAATTGCAGCTCAACCACCTGTTTTTTACCACCCCTGGTTGCCTGTATGAAAGAAGCCTTAGATCAAACTGGAGCTAATGGGTTGCTTTAGAACCTTCTCAAAGCAGCCAAAGCTCACGAAAAGTTCTGTAAATGCTTTATTACATGTACACACTGCTCCCATACAAACTGAAACCCATGCGAATATGGCCTTAAAGGGAAAACGTTAAGAAATTGATGAAGACAAGCCAATTACATCAGGCAAAAAAGTCCTTCTTACTTGACACCTGAAGGATTGGTTTGCAGCCCAACTTTTCAAAATCTATCTAGGTGGGTAAGAAGATGTAGCATTGGAGTAAGCAATATTATTCATGTACTATGCTTTCTTCACAAAGCCAAGAACATACCAAATTAGATTCTGACTTCAAACCAGAGTAAGCAATTTTTCAGCCTGTGCTGTGCCAACCAAGACTTTGCATAATACAGACATACATCAATGGGTAACCATTGTTTAATACTTACAGGCCCCACACAGTCCAGAACAACAGTGGCCTTCTTACACATTTCAGCGAGGGAGGGGGGATCATTAACATCACAGATTATAATGTCAATGGACTTCAGCTGTGGTTTGGCTAAAAAGAAAAACAAAAAATGTAACAGCAGAGACTGGTACCAATTCCAAGTCATTCCCTCTATCTTGCTAGGATTGTTGTTTTTACTGCAGACAAAAGGTAAAGATGTTCAGAAGACCTCATTTCTGGGCACAGAGCGACTACAGCAACAATGTTTTAGACTGTAAGCTCCTGGAAACAGGGCCCTCCTAACCCTCTTGCAATTAATAGCATTGCAACATCACAGTGTCTCTTTATATTTTGCAAAGCGCTGCACAAACCATTGAAACGATATAAATTGTGTATAACAATATTAAAAATAAATGTAATATAAGCAGGAAATTACAAACAATAATTAAAATACATAAAAACACCAACACAGTTATTTTGTATTTTCTGTCTTTCTTTTTAGGTCTGATTATAACCTTTGGAATAATTTATTTTACCATGTAGGAGAATGGCCCAAACTGCACCCCTTTGCATGATTTAGGGGGGCTGGTCTTGGGGATTCCTCCCACAGATATGCATTCCTATTCCTTCCACTGATATAAATGTTGAAATATTGTTTCTTTCACTGTCAATGATGGGTTACGACTTCTAACACTGACACGAATGATGGGGCTCTAGTCCTCCCACTGATACAAACAATGGGGCACTATGTCTTCCACTGACACGAATGATGGGGCAGTACTGCTTCCAAAGACACCAATGATAGGGCATTATTTCTATCCGTAATACCCATTGTGGGGCACAATTCCTCCTCCTACTGACCACAGGCACTATGTAGTTATTTTACTCCCACTAACCACAGTCTGGCCCCCCAAAAGGTCTGAAGGACAGAAAACTGGGCCTTGGTTTAAAAAGTTTGGAGACCCCTGATCTAGAATAAACATGTACTGAACGAAAGATACCCCCCCCCCCCCCCCTTGGGACTTTGAGGCAGCTAATACCACACGTATATTTATGTATAAAAAAATTGTATGCTTAATTTTACAAATACCTAAAAAAATATTCATTACATCAAATCTCTCTAATAGCTCTGGAAAACTTGTTCAACATCATCCCCTATGTGGGGTCAAGAAACAAGAACGGCAATACAAATTAGTACACATAATAATCCCTGATGGCCCAAACACGTTTCAATCATTCCAATTCAAGATTTTCTTCAGGGGGCATAAAAGAAAGGAGGATCTCTAAATAAACATGAGAAATTAACATGGAATTTTATCATTCCAAAAAAATTATGCATAAATGCTTAAAATTACACCCAATCCAATTTTTCTAGCACAACTTAATACAGTGCATTGCCAGTGTTTTGGGGTGGAAACTACTCAATTGTGAATTCAGCCTAATATAGTTGAGAAATTTTTTTTTTTTATAGAGAGGGGAAGAGTTAGAACCCGTCAGATTTTTTTTTTTTTTTTTCAATTGCCGTCTGCATTCCTGGTTAGTAGATTAACCTTCTCTATTTGGCCATCATTTTTAATGAGGTAGAAAGTTCCAATAAGACATCAAGATGCCATAAGATACAGATTTTCTATTACTTCCTGTTGCATCCCAGAAAGGAAATGAATAGAAATCGTTCAAAATAATACAGTAAGCAAAAAATTAACAGGGGTTTTTAACCCTTCCCTACTCAATAAAAAAAGTTTTGGCCACATACACTTCAATTTTATCTTTGGAATGCGATTTTTGTGCAATATTTAGCCATTAAACACTAAAGACATAAATTACATCATTGGTATATGGAAGAAGGATCCTTTTCCATAGCAAGGAGCTTTTCTTTCCTCCCAATGCCTTACTGAAGAATGTGATAGGCTGCTATGGAAACAAGAATAAATATTCCTTTGTGTTGACAGCCCATTCAAAATCCATGAGCTAAATTAGAAAAATCTTAAACGCATATGGCCAAGCTTTAGGCTAGCCATAGACATTTTACAGTGCTTGACAATATTAATATCTATCATTAAAATGAAATTATTTTCTGAACAGATATTTTATTTCGAAAATATACATGCAACAACGCTAGACTGGATTGCAAAGATTTTTCTAGGTGCAGGAAAAGTAATGCCTCATTCAGATGGGTGCAGGCAACCATACTGTATACAGGCCGCACTTCTTTTGATATCTGCATGCAGCCCCAGCTGTGTGCAGGCAGCCTAAAGAAGTGGATGCAGACACAGCAGCTGCCACATGTCAAACTTTGACAGCTGTAAGGAGTAGCTGCACAGCTCTGGTTGCACATTGTCTGTGTTCCAGGCCCTGCAGCTGCTCCTGTACAGATGTCAAATTTTGACATGGGGCTGTGTCTATCCAGCTGCTGAGCCTGCATCCTGAATGATACCTAAATGCTGTCAGGGAAAATAAACATGCATATCAAATTTTTCTGGTGAAGTTAGTTTAGGAAAGGTATTCTGTTTATACAATCTTTCTTAACCTCCCTGGCGGTCCGATTATGTAAATATTTTTCAATGTCAAAGCGGTACATTGTTTTGCATGGAAATTTCAGTGTCTGATGACTATCACGATCACTCAATTCTGCAAGTGATTCTAATTCCCCATCTCTGTTCTCTAGCTGGTCTAAAACCGCTTTTGAACTATGGGGCGCTTTTTGGATGCCATGGACGTTCTCAAGTTTCCAGGCAGGAAGAACGGTAAAAGTGCAGGCAGGGCACTAGGGACAAAACTGAGGTGAAATGGTTTGATACAGTAATGTAATCCTAACAGATTACAATGTATTGTGTGTATAGCATGTTTTTACTTTTTTGAATCTCCCGCCGGTTCCGCCTCCCCCGTGTCGCGGCACTTGCAGGGAAAGGAACCCGGAAGACAGATGCCGGCATCGGCCAGAGGACACAGGGGGAGGACATCGGCCAGAGGACACAGGGGGAGGACATCGGCCAGAGGACACAGGGGGAGGACATCAGGGGATTGCAGGGACAAGGTAAATTACACTACACAGACTACAGTGTAATCCCGAGTTTGGCTTGGGGTTACCGCTTTTGGTACTGAAAATTAACCCCGAGCCACACTCTGGATTACAGCCAGGAAGGTTAATAAGCAAATAATGTTTGACTCAAAATCGGTGCATGTGCCTACCTAATGTCTATAGGGAGAATTCATCTAGGAGTACTGGCATGTTTCACAGGACTGTCATATGCCTTTAAGTGTTCTCTATATTTTGTCTCTGCTCCTCCCTTTCCTTTGGTTAAGTTAATGCTGTACAGATAGCCCACCTTTCTTCCCAGTAATGCATTGCAGCTTCTAGGCTCATGTTATGAAGCAGGTCACATTATGATCTTTTGACCTATCAGATGTTCATTGTTGTAAGATTCTCTCAGTTTATGGAATAAACTTCACAAGATCTACAAGATGTCTTCTGTATTGAGTCACTGCCTGTGATATTCAACTAAGATTGGAGTTATCGCTATCTCATCACAACTGTAAGTTACAGAGATCACACTTTCAATGCTTAGATTGGAGAGACAGAACAAGTACCTATCAGCTCATGCTCATATGATCACTTAATTTACCACACTGTCCTATGAACAGAACTAAACAAGCAGGCAGCAGATGTGGTTTTATGTTCTTCATTAGCAGAAACTAACCACTATCAATTTGGCATAGCCATTCAGAGATAAGATAGTATGGAGCGTAGTTGCAGATTATAATTTCATTAACCTTTGTTCTTTTTCTTTGGAGACATACCTCATCATAAAATGAAGAAGAGTTGACCCAAGTGAACCCAATATAATTGCTGGATATTGGTTATCTGTGGGTGGACAACCCGTTGTAGGGGTAAACTACTCATCAAACAATATATTCAATGACCATATATTAATCCTATTTCCATATAAAGTCCTTGTGCTTCCACCACCTGCTAAATAAAGTGTAACAGTCCTTTTTTTAAGGCTCAATAATAGTGACAAGAAGATCCATGTATCCACACCTTGGTGCAAAGACAAATGAATGGCTCACTCACCAGACCTATATCACCCCATACCGGTGGTCATATACTGCATTGTGTTTCATAAGCCTGGACATTCTCTTAAGGTTCCTCCAAAAATGGTCTCCATCACCCACTCTTCATAGTTGTATAGCCAGGAAGACTGATGTAAAATTGCCAACAGATTCACCAAAAGATGTATAAAGGGATTATGACAGGTAATCCTTGCTGGTTATGCCATACCACTCAAAGGAATTGTGTTTGGCAGCACCATTTCCAGTCAGCAGGGAAGCCCCGAGTCCAGACTGGAAATGGTGCTGCCAGACACAACAATTCCTTTGAGTGGTATGGCATAACCAGCAAGGATTACCTGTCATAATCCTTAATACATCTTTTAGTGAATCTATAGACAATTTTACATCAGTCTTCCTGGCTATACAACTATGAAGAGTGGGTGATGGAGACCATTTTTTGGAGGAACCTTAAGAGAATGTCCAGGCTTATGAAACACAATGCAGTATATGACCTCAGGTATGGGGTCATATAGGTCTGGTGAGAGCCACATTATTGAGCCTTAAAAAAGGACTTTTACACTTTGTTTATTTATCAGGTGGTGGAAGCACAAGGACTTTTTATGGAAATATTATTATTATACAGGATTTATATAGCGCCAACAGTTTCCTCAGCGCTTTACAATATAAATGGAGACAATACAGTTCAATACAAGAGGGTTAAGAGGGCCCTGCTCCTTGGAGCTTACAGGATTAATATATGGTCATTGATTATAATATTTGATGAAAAGTTTACCAACAGGGTGTCCACCCACAGATAAGCAATATCCAGCAATTTTATTGGGTTCACTCGGGTGAACTCTTGTTCGTTCTATGCACAGCACCTACCTATTTATCATGAGCTCACATACAAGTGTCACTATCACTTTTTATGGGCAGCTGTAAAACCCCCTGGGGGGGGGGGGGGGGATATGAATTTAACACCAATTTATTGTATAATTATATATATATATATATATATTGTATTTAATATCTAGTACTTGGTGCCACAAACAATTTATTATTTTTTGAATATCTCATCATAGCATTGTCAGTTGTGAAAGACGAGTATTTCCAGAGAGAGTGCAACATTCTTTTAATTTGGGACAACAGAGATCATGCCAAACATTTATGTCAGCCATCCATTCAGTGTGCAAAGACAACACTCTTCTTCTTGGTTTGGGAAGGATTAAGGCCCCATTCACACATCACGATTTCGAATTGTGAGCAGAATTGCAGCGATTCAGCCTGCAATTCCAAAGCTTCTGCTCCTTTGCTGGCAACAAGCTTTGCGCGATGCTTTTTGTCGCACAGGAGAAAACTGCACCACACTTGGTGTCATTAAAAATGAATGGCCCACAAACATGAGGCGTATTTTGCCATGATTGCAGTGTGGTTTGGATTCAGTCCGTAAGTCCAAATTGCAAAGTGTGAATGGGGCCTAAAACCTCACTCTATTTTTGTCTGTGTCCAGTTGGGGGGGGTACCTTCACTTTCTATTCCAGACCACAACAAAAAGTGAGGGGGAACCCCTCTTAGGCCTTGGCTATACACTGCCCAGATCTGCATAATTCTGCAGTGAGTACGACCAAAAGTTTCTGATAAGCCGCAGACAGGAAGTCTATACAAATCAATGACCCCCTCCTGTCGGGTGCCCCCCAGAGCAAGCAGCTTGCTATGGGGGCACCTGCTGCTCCGTGTCTATTCACACATGGAGCCGTGGCTTGGCCCCACCCCTCTCTCCCCTCACTGGCTGACTGTGACTGACAGCCGCGGGAGCCAAAGGCTCCCACTTGCTGTCTCAGCCAATGAGGATGCAGAGACCCGTGACAGTCAAGTCTGTCATTCACATCGCTGCATGGCGATGGGGCTGAGGTAAGTATTGAGGAGGCTGAGGAAACTGCTGTAAACAAAAGGTTTTCTACCTTCAAGCATATAATTCATGAACGTAAAAAACCTTGAGCCTGTAGAACCACTTTAAAGCGATATTAAATGTCCTTTTTTTTTTTTTTAATAACATGTTATACTTACTTGCTCTGTGCAATAGTTTTGCATGGAGCAGCCCAGATCCTGGCTCTTCCACCTTGACCAGTGCCTCCAATAGCAAGCTGCTTGCTATGGGGGCAATGGTGTGTGCTTGCTTCCGAGCCCTCCTCCATGCTTCCAAAAGACACAGGGAGCTGCAGATCAGCTCTGCCCCTCTGCTCTCTCTTCACTGTCTGTGACTGATAGCAGTGGGAACCAATGCTGCCTGTGTCTCAGCCAATGAGGAGAGAGAGACTCGGGACTGCCACTACTTCCATGCACAGCTCTGGATCTGACTCAGGTAAGTAGGGGGGAGGGGGGGGGGACTGAGAGGGGAGCAACACAGAAAGTAACCTTCAATGCATGAAGGTAAAACAACCTTCAACCTTTAGAACCACTTTAAAGCGGAGCTCCACCCAAAAGGGGAAGTTCTGCTTTAAGGACTGCTCCCCATTAAGGATTGGCACCTTTTAGGGGTGTGTACCCGAATTTTACAGGTACCCACTTCCGGTCCGATCGCCCTAGGCAGTCGGAAACGGAAGTGTGTCCTCCCTCCCTGTAATCTTTTGGGACACATGACAGGTCCCAGAAGACTACAGGACCACTCATGAAGCTCAGCGCTACTCGCACATGCACAGTGAGTACCCGGCTGTGAAGCCGCAAGCAGTCATAGCCGGGTGCCCACACTGAAGATTTCGGCCTCCTGGAATACAGAACGGCCGGTGAAACGGGCTGCAGGGGACACACCACGGGACCCGAGGGACAGGTAAGAGACGTTTTTTTTTAAAAGTCAGCAGCTACAGTTTTTGCTGACTTTTATATTTTGACAGGTCGAGTGGAACTCCGCTTTAAGGTAAGAAACATTCGCTTGTCAGCTGCCCGCCTTACACTTACCTGAGCCAGATCTTGATCCAGCGCTGTGCCTGAGAGCAGAAGCACTCTTCTCTCTCCTCACTCCACGTGGAGCCAGACAATCAAATCCAGACGGAGAGGGAGAAGAGCAAAACCACAACACAGGTGTGTGTCAATGGACACACACAGCCCAGCTGCAAGCCCCTACGTGCGCCACCTTGGGAAGCGGCTTCCTATGGTGGCAGATGGAGAAGACGAGGATCACTTACAATCACAGTCACCTTCCAACACACGTTTGGAGTGTGGGAGGAAACTGGAGTATCAAAGGAAACCCACACAGGGAGAACATGCAAACTCCATGCAGATAGTGTCCTGGCTGGGATTTCAATAGAGGACTGCAAGACACAGGTGCTAAGCACTAACCCGCCGTGTTACATATACACATATATATAATAGATGGACATTATAATTCCTGTATTGTTATGTGGCACCCCTCCCCCTCCTCAGTGGTCTCTCTCACCCAGCCTGTCCGCAGCCCAGTCCAGCACCTCCTCCAGCTTCTTTCTGCTCCTGCCGGCCACAGCCCATCGCAGCTCCTGTCCTCTGAAATCTCCTCCATCCGCCGCCCGGGACACCTCCTCCACCACGAACTGCCCGGTGAAGCCCGAGGCCCCGAATATGACGATCTGGTACGAACGGACTGAACTCCCGGCTGCAGGCGCCATTCTCAGACTCTCACTGACTCTGCTGACTGGGGGGCGTGGCCGGCCACGGATATCAGCGCTGTACCGGGAGGGTGGTGGTGCGCGGAGAGGTCATGTGATCAGAGTATGTCACGTGACCAGGGCTGTGCTGCATGAAGGGAGGGAACAGGAAGGAGGGCATAGCTCACCTGTAGTCTGAGCGGGAGGTTCTGCTCATAGAACGACCCCGAAATAAAGTGACCCCATTACATTGCAGAAAACCCATGTCATGTCTGTTCTGTATGAAACAAAGCGGCCTTGTGATCCTGACATTACACACCTCAAGAACACACATCATGTCATAACTACTGCCAGGAAATTCATTCCCATCTAAACCACTTGCCTGCATGCAACATTGAACCCATATGACATTTTTATATTTGTTTCACTCAAATAGAGCTTTCTTTTGGTGGTATTTACTCGCCGATGAGTGTTTTACTTTTTGCACTATAAACAAAAAAAAGAGCAAAAAATTAGAAAAAAAAAGTTTCTTTGTTTCTATTATAACATTTTGTGAACAGGTGATGTTTCACCTTCACTGATGTGCGTTGATGAGGCTGCACTGATAGGCAGCACTGATGGGCATAGGTGGGGCACTGATAGGTGGCACACTAATGAGGTGGCACTGATGCGGCACTGATAGGTGGCACTGATAGGCAGCACTAATGAGGTGGCACTGCATAGGCGGCACTGATAGGTGGCACTGATAGGCAGCACTAATGAGGTGGCACTGATAGGCGGCACTGATGATGGGTACTAATAGGCAGAACTGACTGGCGGCACTGCTGGGCACTGACTGGTGGCATTGCTGGGCACTGACTGGCGCAACTGCTGGGCTGCACTGCTGGGAACAGGTGGGTGACACTGAGCACAGATGGGTGGCACTGCTGGGCACAGGTGGGCGGAACTGGTGGGTGGCACTGCTGGGCACCAATCTTCAGTGCCCTGATGATCGGTGCCGATCCCTGCTCTGACAACTGCCTGTTCTCGGCAGTACTTTCCTCGTGTTCTGACAGCATGAGGAAAGTGCAGCCAAGAACCGGCAATTGCATTTCCCGGTGATCAGTGTGTCATTGGACACGGCTGATCACGTGGTAAAAGGCCGCTGTGATTGGCCTTTTACCACATCACGTGATCAGCTGTGTCCATAGGACACGGAGATCGCTGGGTGCGTGCCCCCGGGGGGTGCGCAGGCGAGTGCTTTCTGGTAGGACGTCATATGCCGCCCTCTCTGAACTGGCGTCCGCAGTGCAGTCGTCATTCGGCTATCTGCGGTCGGCAACTAGTTAAAGTGTTTATAAACCCACAACTGTAAAATCAGTTTGCAAATGCAGTAAGGCCCCTTTCACACGGGCGTTCCGTATATCCGTTTTTCATCCATCCATTTACAGATGAAAAACAGCCCCCCATGTATTTCTATGGACTAGTGGATGTAAACAGATGATCATCTGTTTACATCCGTTAATGTCTGTATCCGTTAACAACCATTTTTTTGAAAGGAAGAAAAACCCTATGGCCCCTTTCACACGGGCGTTCCGTTTTTTTCATCAGTTCAGTCACATTTTTTCAAAGCAAAAACGGATTAGTTCACATCAATTTTTCATCAGTTTACATCCATTTTTTATCCGTTTACATCCATTTCTGTCAGTTTTTATCTTTTTCATCTGTTCCATTTCTTTTACCAGAAGAAAAATAGGGTTTTCTTACGTTCACAAAAATGGATGTTAACGGATGCGGACATTAACGGATGTAACAGATCATCGTCCGTTTACATCCGCTAGTCCATATACATACTGTACATGGGTGTCTGCTTTTCACCCGTAAATGGGCAGATGAAAAACAGACATACGGAATGCCCGCGTGAAAGGGGCCTAATTTTCTTTTGTTAAAAAAAATGGAAAGGATGAGAAACGGATGTAAACAGACAAAAAACTGATATAAACGGATGAAAAATGAATGTAAACAGACAAAAACGGATATAAATGAATGAAAAACTTATGTAAACTGACATGGATGCAAATGTATGTAAACGGACGAAAACATAGGTAAACGGATAATAACAGATGTAAACAGATGAAAAACAGGTTTAAACTGATCAAAAACGGATGTAAACTGATGAAAAGCTGATGTGAACTGATCCCTTTTTTCTTGAAAAAAAAACATGACTGAACTGATGAAAAAAACGGAACGCCCGTGTGAAAGGGGCCTTAATCATGCTTGTTATACTCACTGTGGAACCTAGAGGGTTAAGCCTCTGCATGTAAAAAGGCTGTTTGATCCTGACTTCTCTGATCCTCCCCTTCTTCCACTGTCACCAATGCATCTGCTGATAGTACAGAGCTCTAGGAGTCACTCTGAACATGCTCAGTTTAGTGTGTATTGTTAGAGGAATGTGTAAAGAAGAGCTCTGTGGACTCTTGTGTAAGGGGGGCATTGGTGATCAGAGACCCCTTAACATCAGAGTTTCCTATTAGACCAGAGTCTGTAGCTGTCAAGAAGGGCATGCCAGCAGATAAGATGGCTCCCTTGGGCAGATTTCTGTTCACGGCTCTTCATGTGCACATAGGAGACGTGCACGTGTTTATGCCCCAAGCCAGAGGTGTAAGAAAGGCCTTCCTCATCATATCAGGCTCTTCTTTCAGGTAAGTGACAGCAGCATTCCCCCTTACATCAGACTCCACAGATTTCTCCTTTACATCAGAGTCTGCAGTGTTTCCTTTTACATCAGGTTCTGCAGAGTTCCCCCTTGCACTGTAAAGGGGAACCCTGCAGACTCTGATGTAAAGAGGAACTCTGTGCTGTGCCGGTAAAGGGTGGGCCATGCCTGTTCATTTTGTGTCCACATTTACACAACAGAGAAGGGCAAGCCTGTGATGACTGTACGGACGATGGCCTGTGATGACTGTACGGACGATGGCCTGTGATGACTCTATGGACGATGGCCTGTGATGACTCTACGAACGATGGCCTGTGATTACTGTAGCGAGGATGGCCTGTGATGACTCTACGGACGATGGCCTGTGATGATACGGACGATCTACGTACGATGGCCTGTGATGACTTTACGGACGATGGCCTGTGATGACTCTACGGACGATGGCCTGTGATGACTCTACGGACGATGGCCTGTGATGACTCTACGGACGATGGCCTGTGATGACTCTACGGACGATGGCCTGTGATGACTCTACGGACGATGGCCTGTGATGACTCTTTGGACGATGGCCTGTGATTACTCTACGGACGATGGCCTGTGATGACTCTACGGACGATGGCCTGTGATGACTCTACGAACGATGGCCTGTGATGACTGTAGGGAGGATGGCCTGTGATGACTCTACGGACGATGGCCTGTAATGACTGTATGGATGATGGCCTGTGATGACTCTACGGACGATGGCCTGTGATGACTCTACGGACGATGGCCTGTGATGACATGTATGGACGATGGCCTGTGATGACTCTACGGACGATGGCCTGTGATGACTCTACGGACGATGGCCTGTGATGACTCTACGGACGATGGCCTGTGATGACTCTACGGAAGATGGCCTGTGATGACTCTACGGACGATGGCCCGTGATGACTCTATGAGTGATGGCCCGTGATGACTCTACGAACGATGTTCTGTGATGACTCTACGGACAATGGCCTGTGATGACTCTATGGACGATGGCCGTGATGACTCTGCGGACGATGGCCCGTGATGACTCTACGGACGATGGCCTGTGTCTTTTCACATCCAATCCGTCACTTTTACACTCCCTTCCTCCATCACTCGCAGGGAGGGGGGTATAAACAGACACATGTCTATGTACATCAGCCTGCCTAAAGACCCCCGTGAAGTTTCTGATCAGGTCTGCCTGAAAAACAGAGAGGTGGACCTGATCAGGAAGTCTGTGTGAGGCTAGGTTCAGGTTTGATCCGTTTCTGCAGTGCTTTTTGTTGTGCGTTTTTGATGCGTTTTGCATGATGGTTTTTTTTTGGCCAACTTGTTGCTGGCCAGATTAAAAAATGCAAAACCCATAAAAAATGCGTTGAAGCACATCAAAAACGCTTTTCATCTCCTTTGAAGTCCATTGAACCAAAACACAATGTTTTGCCTTGAAAAAGGTCTGTGACCCTTTCCAAAAATCGCACTGGGTGAAATCGCAGCAATGTGAACGTGTCCGATAGGAAATCATGTTAAATGGACTGCTGTGTGTTTCTGAAAAACACAAAATGCACTGCATGGACTTGTCTATGGACTTGGTAACATAGTTGTGTGCCTTGAGTAAAGTTGGTTTTAAGCCTAGTGACATCATTAGTGTGCAGGCATTTTACAACATGATCATATCCCTTTGTGCCCATTGTGTTCTCGGATTAGGTGACTGTGTGGCAGATTTTCCAATTTGCCACAATGCCTACAAATAGCTCTGAGAAATTAGGAAGTCATTTTCAAGTAATTGAACTTGCATAAAAAGTTCTCCGTTACGTCTTACATACAGTATGTGACAGATTGCTGTGTCCAATATGCAGCAATCTAGTTCATAAATGTCCCATGCAGGGCATTATAGGATTGCCCTGTAAGCAAGGCCGGTGTTTCCATTAGGAAAGCTAGGCAGCCGTCTAGGGCGCACTGCCACTTAGGGGTGTCTGGGCGCAGCACAGGCCGGCACTCTGTGTGGGATGCCGCCATGTCATAAATGAGGGGAGGGACGGCAGAGGGGAGGAAGAAAGGACAGAGGAAGATGCCTGGTGTCTGGGGCCAGTGTAGCAGCTGAGCTGCTGCTCCTTCCAGTGTTCCTCTCAGACTCAGTCCCTTACTGCAAGCCAGCTGATGGCTGCTGATCACTGTGGAGTTGCAGCCCTTCTCTTCTCATTCATCAGCGGAGGTGGAGCTGCACCTACAGAGGAAGGTAATGTCTGATTCTGTTGTCCCGTGTCTGTGTGACTGTGACCTGGCCAGCCATCCATCCCATGTGCAATGTGTCAGTGAGTGATGACATTATCAAGATCCCACAGACTGCTCTTCTAGTGCCTGCTGGGCCTGCTGATCTGTGTGTGGGCTGGGCTGCCTGCAGTCACATCAACTGCCACTCACTGCAACTGTCACCCTGCCACTGTCAGCCACAGATACAGTCCATCTGTAACACTGATTTTGTCTTTAATATTGGTGCTGGTGGCATCTTATGGCACTTATTTTTGCAAATTAAAAGAAATTGAGCATTTTCATGTTTTGTTGATTTAATATTTTCTGCTGTTTTTACCATTATTTATTTATTTGGGGGGGGGGGGGGTGTAAGTAGGGCAAGACCTTGCCTAGGGTGAAAAATAGTTTGGCACTGGCCCTGCCTGTAAGGGGGTGACTCCATGGCACCCTTCTTTGTGTAATACCATTCACTGCATCATCAAGGACCCCCCCACCATCAGAGTCAAAGGGATGAGCTTTGATCTGCATACACCCTAGACCTTGCCTAGGGTGAAAAATAGTTTGACACCGGCCCTGCCTGTAAGGGGGTGACTCCATGGCACCCTTCTTTGTGTAATACCATTCACTGCATCATCAAGGACCCCCCACCATCAGAGTCAAAGGGATGAGCTTTGATCTGCATACAGCTCAAAAGCCCGCCTCACTACCTGCCCCCTGGACCCTATCCCCTCTCAACTCCTCCGGTCACCCCCCTCTTCCCTCATCCGCTCCCTCACCCACATCTTCAATCTCTCCCTCTCTACTGGCGTATTCCCCTCCCCCCTAAAGCACGCGCATATCACCCCCATCCTCAAAAAGCCCTCCCTGGATCCCGCGGACCCCAACAACCTCAGACCCATCTCCCTGCTGCCACTCACCTCCAAGCTCCTTGAACGCTTAGTCTACGATCGCCTAAGCTCCCACCTTACTGACAATAACCTCCTTGACCCTCTACAGTCCGGCTTCCGTCCCCTACACTCCACTGAAACCGCCCTCCTCAAAATCACTAACGACCTACTCAACGCCAAAGCCAAGGGCGACTACTCTGTCCTCCTTCTCCTGGACCTCTCTGCGGCCTTCGACACAGTTGACCACCCCCCCTCCTTCTTAATAAACTACTCTCCCTTGGCATCGGAGATGCTGCTCTCTCTTGGTTCTCATCCTACCTATCCCGACGCTCCTTCAGTGTCACCTACAATGGTGCCACCTCCCCCTCCCTCCCCCTCTCTGTTGGGGTCCCCCAAGGCTCTGTCCTTGGACCCCTTCTCTTCTCCATCTACACCTCCTCCTCCCTGGGCAAACTCATACAATCTCACGGCTT